AAGAAGCTGAGCTGAACACTGATGAATAACAAATGAAAATTTCTGTGTGAAGCTGCTGTAGGGCAGAAATTCGCTTCCATTTCCTTGCGCAGCTCGCGCCAGCGCCAAGTACTGCGACACCGTCAAAATCAATGACGGAAACTGATGGTTGCAACCAGTCAACTTCGGAATAGATGCGAAACCAGGCACCGGCTCATCTTATTATGAGACCAGCCGATTATGCCTGATCAGCAACATATGTAAAAATTGTTTTCAAATAGCTTCCTCTAAGAGCGGTGATTCAGTGACTGAGTACCCAACAAAAATGCGGAAATTTAGGCACAATATGCTTACCGAGTATTATTACAAAAGGCATTTCATGAGTTCAAAAGCCCACAGCCACGAAATGCCTAAACAACTTTGTTGGTTGTGTGATCAAGATCACTGGAGACCGAACCATGGATCGTAAATTGCTTTCAAATACTCAGATGTTTCTATTAGCGCGCGTACTTCAATATCGTGGAATATCTCTTTACCATACTACCAGAATTGGCACGTAGTCGCTCCTTGGATACGAGAAACGTCAGTATGGTTCAGTCTTGAAAAGGCCAAAGAGCATGTGAAGAATGCTTTCAACATTCCCGTCACACGTTTTGATAAAAAGAATCATTCAAGGGTTTCAAACTTATCCCAGAACTCAACCGCTGTCCTCAAAGGAAGGGATGGGTGTTTTTGGTTGAAAAAAAAGTCCCCAGTCTTCGCCAAGGAACAGCTTAGGGAAAGGGCGTAAAGTGCATGGGGTATGAACCAACTTTTGTGGGAAACCACTTTAGAAATGTAAAGTCTACTTTCTACTGTAACGCTACAAATAATCGGCCATACCGAAATGGGAAGCTGCTTGTTCTATCAATAACATAAGACGGCTTCCCTGCTTATCCGTAGAGAGAGAAAATTGATAAACAAATATGGCTTACGTTTCAAAAAAGATTAAGCATAGTCGTTACTATTTCCATCATGAAAAAAAGCCCCATACACGCTTCATATGTATGGGGACATTCTGAAAAGTAATCCTCTGCCTCAAAAACATATCTTCAAGATAAGATGCTACTTCACTTTTCGGCTAATCTTTAGGCTTCCAATTAAGTGAAGAAAGTTTAGCTTCATCATTTAATGAAAATACAGAAAGCGTCAAATTTCATAAGGAAGTAATACCCACTTTAGAAGCTTCCGAATTAAATTAAATAATACCTGTTTACCAGAATATGACTGAACCAGAAAGTGAATATTCGATGACGACGCTATAACCCTCAGTCACAGTAAAGCTCAAGTAGCTATAGATAGTATAGATTGAGTTTTAAGCCACGAATACATCATATAGTTGTTTCCGTTCAGTATTAGTCTGTGGTCGACCGATGTTGAGGCGACAAGCAAGGACAAGCGAGCTGAGAGTGAGCCGATCACCATCCATCGAGCCTAGCAACGAACGCTACGACAGGCCTATTATCTTCCGGCCGCCGCCAATCCAGGAGGACGAGTCGGGAGAGAATTATTTATTTGCAATATTAATGTATAAAAAGCATAATCGCCCCTCAGGAAAAACTGGGGGGAACGGGCCACCTCAAAAATGTACGGGTCTACTTTTTAAAGGAAAATTAGCAAACTTGTGACGGCCAGAATACGCACTTCACGATGCAAACATAGTTAGGGTCATATGTGGAGTTCCTTATTCATTCTCATACCGTGCCATACACACGGGTTAGGGCCAAAGTCCCAATGATTTCATAAAACGCTAAAATTTATTCGAAACATGAATGTTCCCTAGAACTGGGATGCTCCCATGGCCAGAAAATAAGGAAACGACATCATACGTCTACGTCAAATTCGTGTTGCTTGAGAAAATCTTGACAGTAGATGCTCAGTTGGACACCTAAAAAGGGGTCCGTTCTCAGGCAGCAGAACAGAACCACGCTTTATGAATTCGAATGGATGCACGTAAGCTTCACTACAAACGGTAATAGATTTGAAACAATATAAAGTATATAATGTAATAATATAGAATATCCACTAATTGAAAGCTTGTAAAATTGAGAAAATGTTTTCTTTACCAAAGCCGAAGGTTGAGCCAGCCATGTCAACGTATAGGCATGTTCTACTTTTCAACAATGTTTCCTGTTAGAGAAATAAAATTATGGACCGCTTTGTTTCGCTTTTGTTGTTCCGAAATAATAAACAATAACGTCAATGCTCTTCAAACCGTAGTTAGGCAGACCAGTGCAATGAAACTAAAAATATGGACATTGCCGAGGTGATCAGGCAGTTTATAAGAACCAAAATTGTGAAAGCAGCGAGCGTCACCCGATCATAGAAGCTTAAATGAAACAGTGCAGCTGATAATCAGAATCCTAGGTCACATAACGCTAAAAACAGGTAAACAACGTATAAAATTCAAATAATTGGCTTAGGAGTAAATTGGAGCGTACTATCTGCAACCACACCAACATAACTAAATCGACGCCTAACAGTTCACCCTGTTCTTATCCACTCGACTATGAGGAAAGGAAACAGCAGAACATGGAATCCGAGCCATATTTCCCAATGGAATAGTCCCATTTCCATTCCTCTTCTTACCTTAGATCTCGCTATCGATCATACTAAGCGTTGTAAGTCGGTCGGAGCAAGGCAGCTACAGGAGAAGGGCAGACTCGTTGAGGAACTGTATAAAATGGCAATCTACTTCAGAAAAGAAGTAGATATAGTGCCTGACTTAGTCAAGTGTTTTGATCAGACAAAATAAATACCAGATCAAATACTTGGTAAGATTTGGTACCTGAAAAAGCACTGTTGTTCACTACGGTAGGCTACTCAAGGGATGATTTAGCTCAGAAGACCAGGCTTTCCGAGTTTCCCCACCTATTATTTCAGTTCCCACTCGTACGTTCAGATAATCTCCCTCAAGAAGTCGGCATCCCAAGGAAAGTCTATTGCCACCACAAGTAATGCAGCCAGTGAATTGGTTTCCGCTGAAATGATGCTTTAAGTATAGAGTAGAACCCTATTGTCTCACTCGCTGAGACATTAGAATAGGAACGGCCTACACAGCTGGCATTTCACCATCGGAAGATCGATTCGGACTATGGCAATCTCTATCCTGATTGCAAGCTATACGGGAGTTTGCGTGAGGGTGATGTAAGTATATATCGGCTGGTTACCGTAAGCCAATGTACACATATTCCTCATACCCATTCAAACGCCATTATGATACTGAACAAAAGTCGAGTGCTGGGCGCATCTGTTCAAAAGTGATGGGGATGCTCAATGCGAGACAAATTCGACATTCGTGTGAGCCCAACGGTAGGAAACGGTAACAAGAATCGTATCGAAAGCAACAAATATCAAACCAAAGACCGTTCCTACTGTGACCCTCTTGAGGTCCTTCCCTTGAATCAGCTGGTCGTGAAGCAAACATCCAGTTATTTCACCCAGTTGGTTTTCTTGCTCACGTAATGGAAAGAAATATGTATTCCACTAATGTACGGGTACGTATTCGTATTTTTTCCAATGCTTGTAAAAAGAAAATCAAGTTAAAATCACTTTTTATTTTAATTTAGCGCCTTCGGCGTATACAATGTGTTTTGAAGGTCGGGTTACGCGGATATGCCAGTTTTCGACCTAAAATTAGAGGTCCTGTAAGGATTTAAGGTTTGGTTTGAGTTGGGATAGAAAACTGAAACAGCCGATAGATCCCTAAACCATACATCGTACGGTAACACTATCCCTTGGAACCTCCGCCCCTTCTGATCTTCACCCACTTATTTGCACTGAGTTTAAACTTCTCAATAAAAACGCCATTAAACTTCCAGTTGCAACTAGAAGTTCCTTGCCGTCGATAGCAAAACTTCTTATTGCGATATCGAGAATCCTAGAGCTTCCTCAACTCATTTCTCCCACTTCACCCTTTCGTTTTCTACCTGCCCTCGCAGCGCAGCGCTCAGTAAGCCCCTGTAACCTCAACTACACTGTCATAACTCGGACAACTCTGAAAGCAGTAACTGTTGAAGAGAAGAAAGCTGATGACCCAGACTGTCGAGAATCTTATGCGGATAAGTCCCTTCCTTCTTGTTCTTTAAGGTAGTCAGATTTCAACGATATATGCGGCGTTACCGGCATGACGACAAACTTATTAGGGCTATGACATATTACCATTCTGAAAGTGACAACCTGTCACAGCACTTCATGAGTAATACCGTTCAAAACATTCCGTCTTGAGATATACCTTCTTGAAATAGGTGGCCGAATGGTAATAGAGTATATTTTCCCATGCTATCATTATAACTCTGCATTCAGGATGATAATCATGGCTAAACTATGATATAGTTGTTTGATATTGACGAATAGCCTTTCAGTAATCTCCACATTCAAATTAAATTCAGAATCGTAGTGGTTTTGAAAGCATAAATGGCGCATGCAAGAACCTACGCTCNTACCGTTCAAAACATTCCGTCTTGAGATATACCTTCTTGAAATAGTTCCCATGCTATCATTATAACTCTGCATTCAGGATGATAATCAT